ATCAAATTCTTTAAACTCAATGGCAAATCTATTAATCATATCATAACAAGTTTTTGGGTATATGGATATATCACAGAATAGACTAGGTAGGTACTGCTAACATTTTATTTCGTAAAGGGCAACTTTATTTTAATGTCCTAAAAGATTTAGTCTTCTGTGATAGAGACTATGTTCATCTCTGATAGTAATACCTAAATAAAAAATTAAACGAGAAAATTAAAAAATGCTCAATCCAAATAAACGAAACTGCTTGGCTAGCTCGAGCGACTGGTTCATACTTATAAGCGGTAAACAGCAATAGAATAGTTTCGATAAACAAGTAACGCTAATTTTAACATATTTTATTGTTTACATTTCATTGTTTAGATAAAAAGTTGAGTTTCATTAGATTACTGTTATTAATTTATCTTGATTAAAATAATGTAATTTTGTGATAGTCTGACTCCTCTAAAGGTTTAATAACCTACCTTGACTCAAAATATGTACGAGATATGAAAATGACGAATCATTTAGGTACGAACCCGTTACAAGGCTATCAATGATCATAAAAAATTGTGTTGTTTTCAAGGAAAAACTTGGCCGCCATGACAGTGAGTTGCTGGGAAAAACTTATTATAGAAATGGTTGAAATTGGTTTAGGACTGTAAAAAATACATTACTTTTATAATGTATAATAATATAATAATACATTACTGGAATACCGTAACAAAGCGGACCACAATTTTAACAAAGTTTTTCAGATGTAATCGGCAAACTCCTGAAAAAAAAACGAAAAAACTTATATAAACATTGTGAACTCGTACCTCTCACGTGTTTCCTAAAAGAATCACTTGGCTATAATTATTGGTGATAGACTTATTGACGGTCGATGAACAGTTCATTTCATTTCATTTTATACACTTTCTAAACATAGTAAAGGAAGAGTATTGTAGCACCAATTTATTAAAATATGTCTAATATCAGTAACACCGTAAGTTGCTTTTATTTTAATTCAACAGGTTGATAGCCTCAATTCTCATTGTGAATTATTCACGTACTAAACTCGTACAAATCGGTCTAAACTTAAGTGCATTAGTGCTAATATATATAATACAATAATTCAAGTTACTTTGCCCTAATCGACGGATGTATAATTATAGCAACAAAATATTGTGAAATGTAATACAATAAAACGTAAATTGTAGAATCAGAATGTGACGTCACTAAATTAATTATGATTAGTTATCATAATTATCCACTAACACTGCTACGACATAGAAAATTAATTATTAAAATTACTCTTTGATATGATTTGTTTTTTTAATACTGTGAGATTTTCACTATAATTGTCTAAAAATAATTATTATTTGGACATAACTAGGCAATTCCATTCTGTTGTTAACATAATTACATAAACATATAATGATTTTACGTATGTACTTACGCGAACCTTATAAAAATACAAGTTCATTAAGGTCAGTAGCTAAGCATAGTTGTGAGTTTCGGCATAAGCTTGGTGCAACCTAAACCTGGAAACTCTCAATGACAAAATCGCCATCTCAACAAGTACTACTAAATAAATCCATTTTATATAAAAAGCCGGCTCAGTTTTTATGTAGCTAAGAAATTTTAAAAGGATAGTTCAAGCATGTTAATGTGATTATACATAATTTAATCGTGTATTATATTATTATTATGTCGTAAAAAGATTATGATAAACCATATTTGCTAGGGTTTTTTGGCCTGTATTCAAAGTAAATTTATTTTAAGCGCCGTCCGTAGTTTAAACAACGAATTCGTATATATGGACGCAATGGGTTGTAATGACTTTTCCGACAGAAAAGTATGGATACACTATCACAAAAGTAAATAATGATTTAGTTTTAGATTATTAGAATAAAATCACTAAACTTAAAATTTATATAAAAAAAAAGTTTTGGGATAAGCAGGAGTCAGGCAGCAACAGTCACAAGAGGAAGAAGACATATTGTATGTAATTATTACTCTTTTTGTCACCTTCTATCCTATCTGACTGTGTAAATTTGCTTCTAATACCGTAGGCGATTAATAAGAACGTCATTCCTGATGGGGATCCTCTGACCGCATACTTTTGTTTGTTATTATTAATTTCTTATATTATTTCTACTTAATTATGTATACAAGTAGATAAAAACTATGTATTATACATCAGACATTCGTAACAGTTTCAACCACTTTTATAGTCATTATGGTCACTGCTATAAGTACCTGGCGTTGTCCAATTATAACCTTCATCAACTCTTCATCATCATCCTCAAATGTGACTGATAGCAACCAAAGATTAGATTAGATTATTTAAAGAAAAAAATACTCAAATAATAATTCTTTAGCGTTATTATGTTAGTGCAAATATACATACATAAACAAAATGGATTGTCTCATGCAATAATCTTAAGAATCTCAATCTTAAGAAACAGTAAGAAACAAATAGCTCATTAATTTAAAAAAAAAACGGCGAATGCGTGTTGAATCATGCACAGTGTGGTTACTATTCCTAGTCCTAGTTTCTTCTATTACTATTAAACTAATAGATTAATTTTATCCTTTGCCTCAAAATTAAGGTTTTTAATATTAAGAGTTTTTAACCTAAACCATGCATTGACAAACTGACAGACAGATATGATGAGAAACCAACTAACAGTGATAATATTACATAATAATAAATGGGTGCTAGTAAACAATCAAAGTCGTGCGCTTTAATTTGATGAAAAAACTTAATTTAAAGTTTCTTGTGATGGCCTACTAGCCGTCTACCTATATACCCTACTCGTAAGTTATTATTAATAATTGCTTGCAACAAATGTGTTTGTCTTAAATTTAAAACATTTCGTAAGTATTTTGCAACAATGAAAGGCAACAGGATAACATAAATAATAATAAAAAAAAAAGAACAGCAAAAAAAATTACAGAAACAGCTATAAAGTTTACAATAAATCTATTAATGAATACTGTCTATAACAATGATCATTCCTGCAGCAAAAAAATAGTCATTTATAAAGCTTTGTAAAGCGTGGGTACAGTTCCATAGCGTCGAGCGGCGGGCACGGGCCGTGTTTGTGAGGTGGGTCACTCTCGCGCAGCCAACTGTAAACCTTTTGAGTCCAGCGGGCCGCCAACCACCCCACCTGCTGACCCTACGCCCTCGCGGCCCACAACACCCGCTGCCTGTTAATACCGAGTGCGGACACACCGTGCCGCCCCAACGCCTCGCCTAATGAAAATTCGATCTGTACTTTTTATTTCCCTTACATGCACTGTTAAGGTTATGAAACATGCTCAATCGAATGTGTTTGTGACAATCGTTATTTAATTGAATTTTAATCTTCTTGCAACGTTGAGATTCATTATTTGATAAAATATTTACCCCGATATGAATTGCGTGAAAGCCTGGTGTTTGCTATTCTATTTGCTTCTGTGAAAAGACTGTGTGTTTTTAAGTAATTTTAATGCTTTTGCATAAATAATTAGTTTAGAATATTTTTACTTGAAAACGCTTAAAAACCATTTTTTTTATGTAACGCTAATTGCTTGAAAAATTGAAACTCAACAGTAAAAGATAACTAAGGGCCCCTATACAATTTTTTAAACTATTAATTGTGAATCGGACTACTAGTCGTAACCATATCAGTAATATAGTCCTCACCCAAGGACTACCACGAAACAGTCTTCTCTTACTGCATCATCGAAACTTACAATTATTATATTATGTAACTCTCTGTGTTCCTATCTTTTTTTACGTGTGGAAACGCCCTCACACGGTGACGGTCACTAAAATCACACGGTGTGCCACTTTGTGCCTGTAAGAGGGATTCAGGAACTGCTGTTATTAAGACATCCGGACCCCTCCTAGCGCAATGCCGCGGGCATCACTTTCGGGCAAATGCTCTACACGCGGACGTCGTCTCTTCGCGGCAGGCCGTTATGGCGGGTGGCGTCCAACCGCGGCCACACTCAAGAAGGCGCTAGTAAGCGCGCCTCCCGTCCTCCCGAGCCCTCTCCGCCGCCTCCTACTGCGAGATGACGTTTTCACAGAAGGATGCGACCGCGGTAAAACATCTGACACTACCGGCCATGGAGCGTAAGACGGCCGGTAGCGAGAGGTCACCTCCGATGACTGCAATGAGGACCCGTCGCTGTGACTCCCAAGCCGGGCAAATAGCCATCATGTGCTAAGCCAAGTCCTCACTGCAATAAAATGTAGCTCATTATTAGAAATAATCACTGAGAAACTTTTCACCAATAGAATATATTACTTATATCTTACTTACTTACTTACATATTACACACTTACTTAAATATTAATCCCTAGTATAATGCGCATTATTCATGTACAAACATTTTTTTAAAGAATTTTTGTTATTCTTGTTAGAGCAAAAATTTCTTAACATTTTAAAAAAATATTTATTACTTATATCTTTATTATATACGCTTAACAAAAGAAGAGTTACAAATATGTAGACGTAACAAGCGGCGGTCTAATCGCTCATTGCGTTTTCTTACAGACAACCTTATCAAGGTTATGAAATTTTAGGCTAGTTTACATACACTTAACATATCATCATATGATCATGAATATTTAAAAATATCAACTAAAATATTCATACACGTACTCAATTATAAATGACCAGTAAAAGTTTACTAAACAAGAAGTTATCAAAAAAGTCTATGAAATGTAAATGGATTCCATTTAATCTATACAGTGAAGTTCATTGGTACCTGTACCAAACAAGGCATTTTTTACACGAAGGCCGAAAATCATTGCAGAGGAACGTGGCACATGTAATGGGATTATAGTGAAATATAGGGCGGTGTCGATCGAGAGAAACAAGCGGCTAATGAAGTTATTAATCCGATTTCATACGGCTTTCGACGTTCATGCTCGCAACTTTTTTGTCCATCGACTTACAGATATATGAATTTATACTCACGCATATTGAGTATCAGGTTATGCTCTATTTCTGTAGCCTTAACTTTGTTTTCAGGATTCTAACAGCGAAAAACAATCACCACGAACCGCAGGTCTTTTCAGAGATGAGTCGGGTTCTGCTACGCCTGTTACGCCTGGTACGTATTAATACTAGGTTTATGTATGTGTTATAGGTAGGTTTATGAATGTTGAATGAAATGAATTTACAAGTTGACCGCATACGTCGATGAATAAATTGAATCGGTATATGCTATGTATTCGAAAGGTTCATTTTACAAAGTTCTATTTACTTAATTGTTTAAAAAAAAATATATTTAGCCCCTTCTTTATTGATATAGTACTTAATCCACCACTGGGTTAATGCGGTTATTAAAATATAGTCTTTTTTTCAGGTGATAACCCTTTTAGTTACAATGCTATGAATGGCAACTACAAAAATGGAGATGCAAAATCATTAAGTAAGTATTAACAACAATTTACTGAAATTTAGCGAAAGATTAAATAATATTACAACTGTAGTTATCTGCTTCTCAATTTGTTGTTTCCTTTTTTAAATATGAGGACTGTGATGGTTAACGGATTAAGGTTAGATATCAATTTTCTAAGTTTCATATGTTAGAACGGATTACGGAAAATATTATATTCGATTCGAACACAACACTTTAGTGTTAGTTTCGAAGAGGTAATGACCTGTTTGGATTTTCACACGATTAAAAGCATAAAAGATTGTACTTGTATTGTACCAACTGTACATACAACTCACAACGTACTTATTTTAGAATTATTGCCATGAAATTAACAGATGATAAATAAGTGCAGGAAATGCCAATATATAATTATTACTGTAGTTATATCGCATCAAACTATCTTCAGTCATTTGGTATCAGTTTTCAATCATTATCTGATAAAGAGTAAATCTTTTTCAAATTATTTCTGCATGTGCTGTCACATGGCAAATGATCTAATCGGAGGTAAAATATTAATTAAGTGTTTTTACTTTATCATAAGTCATGTGATGTTTTCTTGTATACGTTTCATTATTATCTCACAAGCACGTGTCGATGTGACTCATTAAGCAATGTAACTTCCATGCGATCACTTTGTTGAACGGAATACTGGTCTAGCTTATCAAATATTATAAAAACACAATATAAGCTAAGTCTAATTAATGACTAATTATAAATTTTTAAAAATTACCGACATACGTATATATGATGTATAAATGCATTTCAGTATCTATAGTTCTTTGAGCTTTTGTGATTGGAAGTATCTTTCTATAAAATAACAGAACGTAGATTTGCAATTTAAGTACATATATTTTGTTAGTGGTATCTTTAGCAAACGAAATAACTGGTCGGCATTACAAAGTACCTGGCTTTTAATCAACTTTTCTTACAGAAATATCAACTAATAACGCAGAATGGTTTCGAAGCAAAAAAAAACACTAAAAGTGAATAAACAAACCTATTCTGCGTTATAAATTTCTCTTGCAATAGTTCATTAAAATCACAAATACTTCGTACCACTCGCCAGGTATTTCATTTGCCGTGTGTACCGTTGTAAGTGATATGTGACAGTCTTAGTAAAATGAAAATAAGTGTAGTAAAACAACCTACTATATATATATATACTAATAAAAAAAGTTGTCATATACCTACGCACGTAATTGCCTTAGGCCACTGATGTATGTATTTGTACATAAAGTAATAAATAAAAAAACATTTTACATAATTGTTTTTAATTGAAAATTCGTGAATTGCAATATGCACTTACTTGCTTTACTTACACTTCTACACTCTTACGATCCTTTTTGTAAAACCCAAAAACAACTAAATTATCGCGCGAGAAAGCAAACACGTCTAAAAATAATTTCCCTTTTGCGCCCTCTAATGGAAAGATATATTCCTGTCATGTAATCAGAATAATTTATTTTGCATTAATAATAAAAGGTCGTCTTTTCTACAGAAGTAAGTAAAAAGATGTTAAATATATAAGATGAGACTGGAAATCTAAATATAAATAAATAAATAATCTTTTAAAAAACGAAAAATATTTAATAATCACGGTAGTTCTCGTTCCTCCTTAGTAACTATGTATCATGGAACGCGAAAGGGTAAAAGTTAGAACAGTTTAGTATTGAGAAACTGCAAAATTTAAAAAATCTTAAACAAGAATCGTCGTTACTTATAAAAAAAAATTGGTTAGATTAAAAAAACACGCTCTCATAGCAAATCAACTTAAAAAGAATTCACCTGACACCTTTCGTCTAGTATTATCATCAGAGAATCGTTATTACAGGTCCCATCTGTTGGACTAGTCAGAACAGTTTGTTTGAGTCTAAATTGAACTGGTTTGCTATGGTTTGCATCCACTAAGGAGCTCCACTATACAGTTCCTGTCTCCGACATCAGATCAGCTCCAAGACACCAAATTGTAGTATATTGTAGTTAAGCATTACTTAACATAAACATAAATAGTTTCGTGTCTATACCATAATTAATAATAGAAGTAGTACTACGTAAATAAAATAATAGACCTAATACATTTATATAACATGACGAATTAGGAACCAGTTTGTTGGCCTATGCAAATATCACGATGATTGACACTTTTTATAGCGATTTCATCTCAGCCGAAAGACGTCCACTGCGCTGGACAAAGGCCTCCCCTAAGGTTCGCCATAACAACCAGTCCTGTGCTGCCCGCATTCAACAGCTTCCCGTGACCTTCACCAGGTTGACGGCCCACATTGTGGCGATCATAGATCTAACTCTTTTCTTATATGTAACTCGGCATTTCTTATGAGTAAATATTAAGTTCACAAGTATCAAAGTACAGTTTTAATATTTCTTTTATTCTCTATTACAGATAGCTATCGTCTTTACATGACACCCAATGAAATGCGCGGTAGCGCGCCTCCTCGCCCGAGGTCTGTACTGGATGCACAGTCTCTTCGCTCCGTGGAAACGCATGCACCACCCCCTACGAGCCCTGAAGAAAACAAAAAACAAACTAAGTTAGTCACATTTCATTTTTAACAAACTTGTAAAAGCGAGGTTTCAATTTAAATGTATTACTTTTGTAACCCTTTTATTTTACACTGATTTTTCTGAGGACTGTTGCTTAATTGTAGGGCAAACATATTTTTTAAGTATTTACTCCCAAAGATCTAAACAAAATTAAAGATACGCAATTACTATTTACTTTTGTGCATTTCTCTATAGTTGTGTATGCGAACTTGGTAAAAATGTACTTTTAACAAGTCCGCATTCTTCACTCAAATGTAATTAAATGGCTGGCAAACCCCCATCCGTACCGTGACTAAAAAACCAAAAATTCAACGACTTTTTGTTTTACTGTTATTTTCAAAACACAACCATTTTTATCACTTTGGAATCTGCCTACTATCCTTCACTAAGCAAAAGTGTCTCTATCTCATGTTCAATATAATACACCTTTTTTTGTAAATGTACTTTTTTTTTTGTTTTAGGAAATACCTAACACTAATAGTGAGCTGTATTTACGCAATACTTCTCGTGACCCTTGGATTGATTATACACGTAGGTGACTCATTCGTCGATGCACCCATATCAGTGGTAAGATCCTTACAACTTTTAGCTTATCGAAGTTTACTTTACTCAATTCAAAGCAACAATTAGAAGTTATATCGTGGTCATCAACAACCTATTACAATTCACTGCTGGACATAGGCCTCACCTTAGAAATGTGGTTTTGGCCTACTATACCACGCTGGCCAGACGGGTTGGGTCAAGTTTTCCTTCTCTTTGAATTGCTGTTATCCTCCGTAGCTTACCAATTTGTCGGCTCTTACGACACCCACAGGAAAAATAGGGGTGATTACAGAAGAAATTATATATGGAAGTCTATGTCCAGTAGTGGACGTTCAATAGCTATGAGAGATGGTGAGAGTTACCGTGCAACATACATATGTACTTGTATTACTATTAGGGATTCCAATTCAGCATTGCTTCCCGCCTTATATTTCCTGAATTTTCTGTTTGCTTATGAAATTCTACCGACTGTTATGGTAATCAAATTAATACTAGTATAGTAAAACATTGCTTTAGAAAATTAATAACTCATATATTAGGGTCTCAGCTAGCCGTAAGTAGCAATGTCTTCTCAAAGAAGAAAGAGGTTGTGGCTTTAGTTGCTAGGGCTAACCGCTTCCTAATTTACCCTTGATTTTCTAGCCAAGATTCTGAACTGTATGAGAAACAAAGATAATAATTTATTCTTTTATGTGAGGTCTTCTATGGATACTCAAACATTTTTATAAATGCGACTGAACTTGACTGAATGTTGAAATATACGTACATTTTAAATTTACAGATATACTCAATAATTTTATGCAGCATTGGATTGCTGTATCTTTTGTACCTTATGTTTGATATAACTCGTTACAAGAGGATCGCTGTAAAGAATCATAAAATCAAGTCATTACATGATGAAAAGATCCGGCAATATTTCTTAAGTCAAGAGGTAAGGCGACGTTCTATATTGAATCGTCCACGTTACTTTTAAACTTTCGGTGTAAATGTAATTAAAAGTAAATAAAGGCAGAATTTTATTGCAGATCTTTTAAGTCTCAAGTAAATTTCAAGTTTATTACTTGTGTAAAGGAATAATAGGCTTTCTTGTGTCTAAATCTGTAAACATTAATTGAAGTTATTTATTTATTTAATTAGAGCATGGAAGACTTACAGCTACAATTGTTCAAAACGTTACAAATTACAATAACTGCCTGAAAGCCAATTACAAGTCTTCACTTATAGCACTATATTAATAATTTGAGGTGCAATCAAAAAAAAAAGAAAAAGAAACAGTATAAAAATTTTACAGACTATAAATAAGCTAAATCACGGTCTCAACCAGCCTCCTGGGTTATGTATGCATTTTAGGTTTTAAGTATTGTTAACTGAGGTAAAAAAGGAACGACTCAAGCACCTTCTAGCCGAAGGAATACTTATAGCAAAGGGGTCAATATTTATTTTATATTATTTATTTGGAGGGGTTATGATTTCGTAATCATGTTGAATAAATTTTACCCATGTTTTTCAGGAAACATTTGGACAAATTACGCCTGGCGATAGAACTCCAGAACTAATTAGACCAAACATGCCTCCACCTATACTTATTCCTATTAAGCATGAATACTGTTTCAGTCAAGGCCGACATTCTGGCAGTTTCTATCTAAAACTAGGCGCAGCCGGTTAGTACAATTATAGTTTTCTAAGTGCATTGAATAAATAATAATATTTTATTATTATTAGGTCCTTACATATGAAATTGGCGTTTTGTACGGGTGAAATATAAAGTCAATTTTTTTTGTAAAATATGTTTAATTAATCAAAGTATGCACCGTTGTTATCTGTGCACTTTTGCCATCTCATAGGTAGTTCATGGATCCCTTTACTAAAAAAATCATGGTGGCGAGAATCAATAAACTCTTTGAAGGCGGTTTGGACTGCCGCATCGGAGTTGAATTTTTTTACTTGTAAGAAGTTGTCCAAATTCCGGAAAAAATGGTAATCTGTTGGAGCAAGGTCCGGGGAGTACGGTTAATGTCGCAGAAATTCCAATTGTAGCTCATCTAACTTAGGATTTGTTGTGCAGTGTGTGGTCTTGCGTTGGCCTAGAGCGATTGACCAATCTCGGTTGTTTAGCAGCTAGTTGTTCCTTCGTGGTTTGCAGTTACTGACAATAGATATCTGCGCTAATCGTTTGGCCAGATTTTAAAAACCTGAAGTGAACGACACCGGCGCTAATCCACCAAACACTCACAACTAACTTTTTCTGAGTCAATTTTCATTTAGGGCAGGATTTTGGTGGATTTCCAGGGTTCAGCCATTGCAACGAGCGCTGCCGATTATCGGACAGTATCCACTTTTCATCACAAGTAATGATTCGATTTAAAATCCCTTAATTATTGTGTCGGTTGAACAAAGTAACACAGCAGTCGACGCGTGTTTGCAAGTTCGATTCACTCAATTCATGAGGTACCCATCGTTTTTTACTTTCCCGATTTGCTTCAAGTGGATTAATACAGTTTTATCACTTACCCCGAAGCCTGCAGCTATCTCAGAAGTGCTTTGTGATGGATCCGCTTCCACAATAGCCTTTAATTCTTCATTTTCCACTTTGGTCTCCGGCCGTCCAGAACAAAAACGTTGAAACCAAAAACGTACCGTGATTTCTTTTGCGACACCAGCGCCTTACACATCATTAATCCTTCGAGCTGTTTCTGCGGCACTGATGCCACGGTAGAACTCGTACTCGTAAATATACCGATATTTCATGTTTACCATTGTGCGGTAATAAGCGACACCAAAGAAAAAAATAATGAGGAAAAAACAAATGAATGACTGTTTTCAAAATTCAAATGTACCAGCTAAATGAATTTATAAATTTGAATTTGGAATTCTTCACCAAAGAGTAGATATTTCAGGTCAAAGTGGTCAGTACGACAAAACGCTAATTTCATATGTAAGGACCTAATATTAAACAAGCACATTTCAGCTCATTCGATTTTCTCTAAATAATATTTAAAGTAGTTATGTGATGAAAATAATGCAAACTATCAAAAATAGCCTTGTCTCTAGTAACGAATCTCTTGATCATCATTGGTCCTATGAGAAAAGTTGCATCTAATATTTGGATGAGCTTCGGCACGAGAACGTCAAACAGAACGCCTTACTCTATTACTAAATTTATTAAATTATGTAGTACTTCTATATATATGAAAAGAAATTTGTTCGGAACTGCGCTTTAAGGCGTTCTCCAAGCTAGTGATTTAGCTAGCAACCAAAGTTTCTCACTTGTTTAAGCCATGTAAAAAATGGCCTCTCAATTTTCACTCAGCGTACTCCTATCTTAAATTTTTATTTCTCCGATCAGCAATAATAATAGATCTCTTACTTAATATTATTAAGAACTACCGATAGAAATATTATTCATGTATCAACCAAAAAGAGTTTTTTTTAATCTTGTTTAAAATAAATAGTCATATCAGTAAAATCTTGTTTACATGATGGGCAATTTTTTCTTCAATTGTTAATTGGTTAATCTAGACATTTAGGTGATATAAATCTAACCACGTGTTATCGGGATATAAGTATGATGTTGTCTTATCCAGTGATTCAAATTCAAAAAGAGAAAGCTGTTATGAATTCATAAGAACATAAATATTAATAAAAGTTAAATTTCAGGTTTTGCTTTGGGTCACTTGGTCCACTCGGTGCTCTTGCTCGCAGTACAAATAGGTTTAATAACAGATGAAAATATTGATAACGATAAGTGTGTTAGCATTGTGCAAGTGGTACTCGATGTAATGGTCCCTCTATATTGTTTTCTGCAACTGTTCTTTGTCTTCAAGTACTCCAACGTGATCATCTTGAAAGTTCCGGTAATTATTATTTTTATCTATATGCATATAACTTCTACTAATAAAAAGTCGTCGGAATGTATATAATTGTACTGTTTAAAGAGCTTAATAGCTTAATGGAAAATAAACCACACCATAACCTAGTGCAGACAGATATTCTGTGTTAAACGTCTAGATTTTCCGTGACTTGATGATATTTTATTTAAAAAAAAGGAATTGCCAAAAAAAACAAAATGTATTAAATTTGCAAGTCTGCTGGTCAATTAGTCTGAAATAATGTGTATTTAGTGTCATTGCATATCCAAGATATCACTAAAAATGGCGGATTGGATATTTTTCATTACATAAGCTTAACTAATAAAATTAACTGAAAGAAAACAAAATTCTATAACATAAACCTAGTTAGTTGACTAACAACATTTTAAGGTGATTGTATAAAATATCAGACAATAATCATTCATAATAAAATTTATTCAACATCAATAAATTTATGTAGGTATGTAAGTATCCAGAGCACTCATATTTTCTATTAATATTATATAAAATTTCAAATATATTACGTAACTGAAACTGCGATATATCCTTTATTTATAGGCTAAACATTAACTGTGTCCAAAATTTAGAGTTTATAGGTACGTTTGCTAAAATACCTACCTTTGAATTTATAAAAAAAATTGAAAAGTGCTATGTGTTCTGGGTTAGAAACGATAACAAATTGGAAAAGCGATTTACAGAACTGTTGATAATTATGTTCGTGTTTGTTCACATTCGTGTTAAAGACTCCACGTATATTAATTTCAAACAACTTTGCTTTTCTAGGGTCTGGCCTACTTAGCATTCATGCACCTGATCGGTACCAGCCTCTGTTTTTGGATATCAGCCATAGTTCGGGAGGTACTCCTTGGATTAAGGCTTTATGCTAATACTTTGTATGGTGGAGACAATGAAACTAATGTAGTGGATAACGAAATTGTTGGAAATGTTTTTAATGGTGAGTTTGTTTTGTTTGTTAATTATTATCATTGCACTGTAATTTAGTCTCGTGGATGGTTAAACAGCTGTGGCCATATCAATTTACAACTGAACGTCGACTTCCTTCACATGTATGCCTGCCCTCTAGACTCATTATATTGGTTTTAAATTTTTGACACATCAAGAGAAATCGTGCCTGTTTTACTCTTAAATACATATCGACATGCGAAATTTGTACATACAATATATGCGACATGTTTTACATAAATAACACATTCATTAATAAAATAGTTCAAAAATAAATTTGTACACACTTCTTGTGCATAGAATCCATATAGTATATAGAATCCATCCATATTTAATCTATACTTTTGTTTGAAAATCTGAAAGTGAGTTTATTTGTTTGTTACGCTTTTATGCCTAAACCACTATAACCGATCGTAACATCTATTACACCTGTAGAAAGCTAGATTGCCAGCAAGTAACATAGGCTAATTTTTACCGCGATAACCGACATGGACGCGGTTGGAGCGGCGGAGTGGAAAGCTAGTTTGAAATTAATTTTCAATCACTGAAATAAAAAAAAACCTACAGGTCTGACATTTATTACGTCCGATGGTACAGTGGGTACTAACAGTGTAAACAACTTTATGATGATCATTAGCAGTACAACAGACCAATAAGCAGACTGAGACGCAATGTGTGTTCCCAAGCAACTAATTTGATTTTAGTCGACCTAAACTATAAAATATTTACAGATATTGGTTCTCTATTAAACGAATTTTGTGACTTGTCAAAGTAATAATACTAAGATTTGTATGATTTTAGAAAACTATATTCAGTCCCGTTTTTTCGACGTCAGCGATCTCCACGTTCCGGAATGCATCGGCTCACAAGCAATAAATTCAATATTTGAGAATTTCTCACCGTATTTGTACCCGTTCAGCGTTGAGTTCAATATTCTTATTGGTAAGTACTTTAAAAATATTTGGCATTTTGGAATTTATTACTAGTAGAATTATCTTGCATGTGCTATGGAGATGAATTATGAATATTAGGGCTACAAGGAAAAAATGTATATAACTATTTAAAAATTCTTGAAGGTGGCTTGTCAGTCCCAGAGGTGCATGTACAGGACGGGAGGAGGATGTGCAGTACAGAAGACTCCGTGCAATTTTAATTACTACATCCGACTGAACATAACTACATTGTCAGTTTATGGTTTTTCTTATCAAGGCCAACTCTATAAAAAATATTTCAGTTGAAATTTTGATTTTGAATTCATATCACCGGTGAATGGTATAGTGCTAATGAGCAAAAATATTATTGGCAATATACTCAGGTGTTGTCCATAATATCGCCATAAATACAAATAAGGAAATAAGGAAAGTTTTTATAACTCTTTTCGTCTCTGTTTTAATCAATGCACCATCAAAATCTTGAGACTTTTTTGTTCAAGATATTGACGGTATTCATACGCGCCGTGCATTTTAACATTATTATAATTTTTTTTTAGTGGCTGTATACTATATTATTTGGAGCAACGTCGGCAATTGTCACAGCGATGGAGTTTCCTGAATCCAGCTCAGCATCAGAGGATCAATATCTAATGTGCAGTATGTGAACAATGATTTTTAATTTTCTTATTGAAAATTTACTAACCCTGTAGCACAGGATTTAAAAGAAACTTTTTGTTTATATTAAAGTCATTACAGCGTTTCCCAAAATTTTAATCATGCTTTTTATTTATTCTGTTAATTATTCATAGCGTTTGATAAACAGCGTCGTCTAGGTGTCTGTCTCAAAAGATATCTAAAAAAAAAAAGTGCTTTTTTACAATTTTCAATGAAATAATAGAATTCTTCTAAAACAAAATTTTAAATTTTTAACAAAAAAAGATTAAAACTGTTATTTAAACAAAAAAAACAAACCCCTTTTTATTATACAACTTAAATGTATTTTTTTGTTAAATTTTAAGTGTATTGTTATTCATTCGCGCATCATGCGATTTACATACACCGCTAAGGAAAGAAAGACATAATCCATTTTATCCATTAATTTTTAGAGGGGATAAAAAAACATTTTATTTTTACATTATTTTATTAAACATTTATTAACTGCCTGAAAAGGCAAAAAAAAATATAATTGCATACATTTGAATACCAACCCGTCTGGCCCGCGTGGGATAGTAGCCCCAAAAAACCCCTTTCCCAAGGGAGGCCTTGTCCAAGTGGAAAGTAAAGCTTTGATGATTACATTCGAATTCTATAAAAACATTAAAATTTAAATTGAATGGAAAACCCCCAAATTTACGGGGGGGGGGGCGTAGTGGTTTGTGTAACGGACTGCTACGCCAAAGGTCGCGGGTTTGATTCCCGCTGAAAGTCAAACATTTGTGTGCATGAGCATTTACTGTTTGATTTAGTCCGGGTGTTTCTATGCATAATATAGAATAGAATAGAATAAAATATTTTCACACATCTCACACACGGCCGTCTGATCCCAAACTAGTCACAGCCTGTGCTATGGTAACCAGACCGCTGATAAACATACTTATGTATATCTAAATTCATATATATTATAGATGAAGTACACCCAGAGAAGAAGACAGTCGGTTCGTACGACTAATAATACTAATAATAATGCTATACTTTTAGAATCCCTACAGCAAATGAAGACAACGACTTCACAAGTAACATCGTCATCTACGCGGATTGTCACGCATCGAATCGCGGCCTGTTCTTAGGTCTCATTGTAATGGTCATCATCATTGGATTGCTTATAATAGGCTTTGTCTTCAGTAGTGTTGGAAGGTTAGTATCATTTTATGTATCTTAACTGTTTCAAGAAAAATCTACTATCAGTTTAGTCTTTTTGAAAATTAATCGATCGCTGTGTCCACCGTAAAAAAGCATGAAACTAAACCTACGATACGATAAATTTGAATGATAACAAGTTTTAAGTAATTGAAAAAACAAGAACTTAACTACCTTAAATTTACAAACCGGTGATTTTAATTTTTATAATTGACATAATTATATCCAGTGTCACTCTCAGGTTAAAATACGACATAAAGGGTAAGGTTAATTGCACTTTTGGCGCGACATATTATATATTTTAGAATGGTTTCTACCTCTACTGGTTTTTTAAACGCATTTTAAAAAACAGTCAATTGAAGCTCTTGGTACGATATGGACCAGTTAACCTTTTTAACACGGTTTAGTCAACTTTACTTTAAGCTACTCCTAATTAAAATTCCATTGTAACCTACTTGTAATTTGTAGTACTTAAATCAAACTGTTTATGTTTGTATGCTGTAGAAAACTAAAGTATTATTTGACATCTTCCTAAGGGTAATGTGATAATAGGGCCAGGAGACAGTTAGTGCAATTTTTCAGTGGTTAGCAGTAAACCTTCATTATAATAATGTTGACAATTCCAACAGATTGAGCTTGGTAATGATGATCTGATGATAACACCAGACAGAGTGCGACAGTGGGACTCTTTTTTACCTTTGATTTGGTTCACTGCTAAAGATTTTTTTAATTTTTTTATAGAATTAATGATGTAAAACATTTAATGAGGAGATCAGACCGGCCGTTGGCGTGTTGATGGCCATACTATGTGATTATATATTATGTATCATGTAATGCGGAGTGGCGGCGCGTCGTTAGGCACAAGTGACTCTTCTGAAAGAATAGCCCTTTAGTTTAATTACTAATTATTTCTACAAGATAATTTCGATGTTTCACATCTGCCACACATCCCGCGACTGTTCAACTTTATAAGATGTGGAATTCTCTGAGCTGTTTTGAACCAAGATAATTCTTTTTTTACAGTGACTTTGTAGAAATTGGCCACGTCATGAACGAGGTCACTGAGCTCTGCCTACATGTGGTGTTACTGTTCAGCGCAGTGGTTGCCTTCAACCAAATGCGTCACTTGGATATCAACGAGCACCCCATCTCTCTCCTCGATGATGTTCTTCTCTTCATCTGTCTACCTGCTTTCTTCATAGAGGCTGCCTTATCACTTTATGCAACTACCAGCTTAGTCAATATAGTGCGCAGTATAAACTTTTGTTTAATGGTAAGTTTTGTAAAGTTTGTATTTTAGTTTACTAAATTAGAGAAAGTTTAGACACAATCAGTTCCATGTACGATTTATAATATATATTTGCAATACCCTGCCATTTAGCTGTACAGCAATAAAAACACAACATTTTTTTAGGTTTCCTCTGATAACTATTTTTCCTACTTCTTGTTGTTTTACGTCTCCTAATTGCTTATTCTCTTAAACTGTTTTGTTATTTTTTATTGGTCATAGATACAGAGTGTCATGATCTTATCAATAAATAAGGTCGTAATATTTTGAAGTATCTAGAATATATGTCATGTGATACACCAGCTTCCTCAACTTCATATTCACATGAAAAGCTTGCCATTCGAAAAATAACAATTTTGTAACGAATTTAAATGTGAAAAATTTAGATTTATATTTATATTTTTATATTTTAGATTTATATTTTTATTATTGGCATAAGACAATAGCCAATTGATATCAGTTCTGTCTTCTTTCAAATGCTTATTATTCTCGTTACATTCTAGGTGATACAAGTAGTAATCCAAGTTCCATTGATAATGGACGGACTCCGTCGCTGCAGCAACACCAAGAAACTGCGACGGAAAAAGCCGGGCCGCGAGATCCTCATGTTTCTTCTCATCACTAACGTCGCCATGTGGATATTCTACACGTTCTCGTACAAATCTCCTGACAGCCTTGATGACAGATATACTTTCTACGGCAAAGTTACTTGGACAATATTGGGTCATATCAGTTTGCCTTTAATTATGTTCTTTAGGTTCCATTCTAGTGTATGCTTTGCTGATATTTGGAACTCAGCGTATCAGCCTGGCTCAGAGCACTAATAGAACATATACGGACTGTACTAGTTCTTATCTAGTAGAAGAAAAAGAAAACAGTCCGGCTTGTGGACTTCAACGTGATCTATTAAGGACGATTGTTATTATGACTATTTTGTTATTATTAATATAATATTATAATAATATAATGATATAATTGTAATGCAATTCTTAGCAGAATTTAGTTTTAAAGGATCACATATGCATTTTTTAAAGTAGTATTCTTAATTATACTCATACGTCTGCAATAAACTACTAACTCCCCACTTACTTATATTCTCATATTTGTAATTGTTAATATGTTTGCGATATTACAAAGTAGAAGTTAAGTTGTAAATCCTGATCCGAAAATAAATGTTTGAACTAAGTTAAACGTTATTGTATTTAAAGCTCAATAATTTAATATGTAGGTAAATTAATTTAGTATTATCTTTGTTGCAAATTATAATGTGCAATGAAAATTTTGTCCATCTAAGGTTGAAGCAATAAAGTTTGAAGTTACCTTAACCCTAACCTAAACTTAATCGAGTAGTAAAATTTGTATTTTTTTCTCGTAATATGTAAATTTGGTACTGGAAACAGTCGCAGGATACAACATAAAATGTATATACGAAAGTTGTGTTTCTTTTGTAGTCATTTTATACAAATGCTTAAACATTGTGCAACCAAATTGGACCCGATCTAGCTAGACAATACTAGATAAGCTGGATTACTATGTTTAGATTCTCGATTTACCAATATTTACCAAAAAGAAAAAACTATCTATCTGTCTGTTAGTGCCGGGTAATCTTCCAAACGGCTTCACCGATTTTGATAATATTTAACTACCAGGTAGCTGTCTATATAAAGAGTAACTTACGCTATTTTCCCTCTCAGAAAAACCCTTCAAAATATTTCCCGGTCCGAGAATCGAACCCACTAAGGCAGCGCTTTTCAAATTCCACGCGAACGAAGTCGCAGGTACCAAGCTAGTAACATATATAGCTCAATAGAGTAGGTAGATTTTGTGTACCTATTTGTTTGTATAATAATTTTTAGAATTTTATTATAAAGTAATCGATCGAAATGATTATTATCATTTCGATAGTAATAGAGGCCCGATTACTTTATCGATAATTATCGATAGTAATCATTAATAGTGTAATATTGATAATATATCAGTAGCATTCAATGTCAATATCATAATATGATCATCAGCATATATTATTTGTAACGTATTTAATCATATTTGTCAGTGAATACTCACACGACAGATGAAATCTAGTAGTCAGAATGAGACTACCGATAGTTGACACAACTGTTATTGCTAATTAATTATCTACCTTTCTTTATTAAACTGAATATGTCGTAATTTAAAAAATATTTTTTTTATTAACTGTTAGTGACATTGATAACTCTGAAAGCTTGAATTACAAATAATATATCAATGGAGTTACTGCAGTTACGTAATGCAACCACAAATCACGTATCAATATAACGTCTTAGCTGACTAACCGAGAGAGCACGTTAATTAATGTTGCGGCCCCTAATGCAATTACCGAATATTAGGTTAAGTACTCGGCCAGACTGGAGCGGCGCACTTAGTTGACGACGACCGTGATACAAACTAGTTAGGCACTATGGCCACGCTTACATGAGAACACTGCATGCATACGTAAACCTTGCGATTGATACACAAATCACATTCAATACTTAATTAAATCTGAATAATTGCTTTGTATGCCTTGTGGAATAATGTGGCAGTTATATTGTACATCTTTTTGTGTTTGGAGAGTTTTTTTTAACAAACTAAACAGTCTAAAAAGTAATTGGATTAAAATAGTGTTATAGCAAACTTCGTTTTTATTACATATTGGAGATTTTTAGATATAGCACATTTATGATTTTGCTGAAAAAAATGTTTTAGACATGTGGAAATATTTCCGATCCTACCCATACTAAAACAAACAAACTTAGATAGCTATATAATATTCATACATTATTGACGAAATTTAGGGCAACTAGACATTTGTTTTAAAACTTGAACTTTAAAGCTGAATTGCAAATCTGTACATAATTTCATATATTTTATTTTAAGTTAGTATAGAAGTTAGTTAACAGTTTATTTCATGACGATTTAAGTACATGTGAATCGCTTTTTTCCATATTTTTCTCTAGAGATCTGAGTAAAATATAAAATTTGTAAATCAGTAATTTATTTAAAAAAAACAGTTTCACTTAAACATAACTATAAAGCAATTTTCTCGATGATCTACAATACGTAATAATTTATTTATAATATCTACATATACATACTTAATGTAAAAAGTACGTTAACATTACATTCGTTAACAAAATATCGTTTCATTGAACATACAATATTCTAGTTCAATGGGTAATCTAGAATAAAGGGAAAAATAGAAAAATTTAAAACGTTAATCTACAGAACATGGATATTCTCTCTTGTGGTAGTATCTATAAAGCTTAAAACTGCTTAATCAATAAGTTGTTTCCATAGGCATGCGGGACTGGGAAATATTCGTGAGTAAATCAGTAGGGCAGCGCGACGTACGGATATGCGCTCGGCTGACCAATGCCACTGTAGTCTAATTGTTTCCGATCTCTACGGAATAACCATCGCGCCGTATTGACGAAATTTGAACACGTGAATGATGGCTGATAAAGGCATTCATACTCCAATGGTCTTTCTCTTCATGTTACATTTCGCATGTTCCGAATATTTCGATGGTGATAAGCTGGGTACAAGCATCTCCACGTCCAACATTTCTGATTCTTTATTCAATATTTAGTTATGCTGAGCTTGAGTGTACGTAAGTTTTCCTTTTGATAACTTGCAGAGTTCCTATGACAAATCTAGGTAACCAAGCATTATAGCATCACCTTGATTGGTTATTTGATGGCCAACCTGGTTATGTGGTATATTTTTTTAGTATAAATCTCTATGCACAAATGAGAATTCTTCAATGGTGGACGTAGTGGCATAGGAATTTTCTCTCAGTCTAAATTATTGTGGTGCGGAAATGTGAAATGTGTGTGTGCATTAAAAAACTATTTTTTTAAAGAAAGAGAAAGCAATTGAGAAGATGGGCAGAAACAATGGGACATACCTACGTATATACTTGTTAAGTAATATACATACATATACTTATCAATAAATAATAATAATATATAAGACTTTAAGGTTTGTGATGAATCTGATATAGGGTATACAGAATGCGAGTTCGAACTTTCATCTTGAAAGAGAGGCGGCTGGGTGCTATATTGATTTCTATTTTTTTTTTAGGAACGAGGAGTTGACACTCGCGATGTGTCACGAGTATGAGTGGGGAATAGCAGAAGTGGATTGTTTAAAGAACGGATGGTTCTATTGTGATTGGAACACACATAGATATATATAAATAAATTTCTGTTAGCTTAAACTATTTTTATGTCATTCGATTTCTCAATTAACAATAATGCTTTTACATATGTTTTTTTACCTATAATGAGTTTTCACATAACCAGTCCCCTAGATTCAAGGACTTCATATGTGGTTCTTAAATTTATAGCTTTTATTGACTGTTAACTTCTCGTCGGTTAATAATGGTTATTAAAATGTATGGTGTTAATGTAAATATAGAAATAAGAAGAGATAGGTCCTCAAAGTCAATTAATGCTCTGATAACAAGCGAAAATTATACTTAATGTTAACAGTCGTATCGGATTTGATAAGGTAATATTAAGTTATCTCATTATTAATATGGGTAGGTAGTGAACATGTTAGTAACGGTAGTAGTAAGTATAACCTGAGAATATTTTTTGCTAGTGGACATATTTTAAGAGTTCCGAAGATTCTCACAAGTTAATGTGTAAGTCCTGAGTTTTTGTACTAGAAACAGGAAATTATACAGTGAAGTAGCTAAAAAGTCGAGACGGCCTTTAAGAAGGCCCTTTAGAACGGATTTTACAACAGGTCCTTCTGATCCTTTAGATGAGGTGTTCTACGAGTCATGCAAGTTAATATAAAAGTCCTGAGTTTTTTAATACAAACCTAGTAGACAGTAAGTAGCTTATGGCTAATATATTTTAGCCAAGAGTAGATTTTGCATAAAGATCTTATTAAGGAAGTCTAGGGCATTCGAGCTTTTTTGAATATCCTTAAATAAATTTAGGTAACACGCAAACGCCGAATCACCTAGAATCATTTTTTTTGTATATAATTAATATGATAAATAATAACTTAGAAATATAAAAGCTCTTAGAGTCCAAGTAACTATTTCACTGCATTTAAGATAAATCAAATTATTCCCAATTATTCTGATAACATTTTATACAGTATTTCAATAAAAACCGGGCCTTGTCACCAGGTGATTTGTGTAGAAGTTTCCTCAGACAAGTAAAAAAAAGCTACTGTTAATATAACGACTTGGTCAGGCATTTGTCTATGTAGGCAATATTCAATGCTTTAAACATCTGCCTTATCTGCTTTTTAACCGTTTCTTCGTCCTGACCCCAAAGAGACATGAAATACGTTTATATCCGATATTTGATCTGGATCATAATCCGGCCAGATTAAATTTTAATACCAGTTCTTGATTACCCCTTCTAAACAATCTAAGAAGTAATAATTATCATTCACTAAAACTTGAAAACACTTTGATAGTAAACCAAGTTTAAAAGAAAGTTAAAATAGATAACTATCTACTTCGTCCGTCTTAAGATGAGTTCCAATTTGCCAATTTATAATTTACCATCTGAACTAAAAATAAATACAAAGTTTGATTTAAGTGCGACATTATTAATAAATTCACTATTAATTAATTATTAATTATTCTTCAGTCATGCACTACACCCCATTAATTGAGCAGGTAAAGTCTAAATTTAACATTTGGTACCTTGACGATGGAACTCTAGGAGGGGAAGTAGAGACAGTTTTAGAAGATTTATCTTTGATAAAAAATAAATCCATTGGCTTAGAACTCAACTCTAACAAATGCGAACTTCTTATTTGTGACAATACAGACAGG